TTAAAACACAATTGTGTTAAATTAGTGACCATTCATGGAAGACCTTTTGCTATTTTACAAGACCAAGCTTTCCAAGACATTATTAAAATGGTAACACACTCAAACGCTCACGAAATATCTATTGGATCCATTAAAAAACTTGTAATAGATAAAGCATACGAAGTCAAATTAAAAATAAGCAAAGAAGTTAGACATAAAATGATTAGTCTTAAACTAGACGCCGCTACGTATATGGATAGAATTTTTTTAGGAATTAATATGCAATATGTTAAAGACGGAGAAATAAAAGTTAGAAATTTAGCCATTGTTGAAACGGTTGAAAGGCAAACTGGTGATTTTTTAACAGAGAAGCTTATCGAAATTTTGAATGATTTTATGATCGACATTTCACAAATATATTCCATAACTACGGACAACGGCAAGAATTTAAAAAAAATGACTACCCTATTGTATTGTATTGTATATTGGACTCGTTTTCCTCACTTAGACTCGCATTTGGTCCGTTGTACGTTGCGAATCCTGGCTAGTTCAGCCAGCCTAACTCCGTCCAAAAGCGCAAAAGCTTCCTGGGAGCTTCACAGGCTTCGCGGAGCGACCTCACCGGTTCGAGGATTTCATTTCGTTGGGAAGTTACCGCTACGCATTCCAGGACTACGTGAGCGACTGATTCTACAGCGCTAAAACACCCTCTGCAGAGAGGGCTGTCCGTTGCGCCAATGTTAAATAAGTGTTTGTTTAAGGGACAGTGGCCCGTTATTGTCCCTATCATTATTTTGAGATTGGTTCTATTTAAGTTTAGTAGGCGTAATGACTACCCTATTAGGCTGTAAGTTATATACTGAGAATGAAGATGAAACTAATAAAGAAAATGAAGACGCAGATGATACAAGTGATGATGAGGAAATAGAGGAAGAAAATGAACGCACACAAGAAATACATGAATTTGAAAATATTATGAATATTAATTCTCTTTTAGACCATATTAATAATAGCACCATACCACCATATAAATATAAGCCTCGCGTAATGCTTTGTGCTGCGCATACGCTGCAATTAGCAGTAAGAGACGCTATAAATGTAAACATTGAAACACAAAGTATAATAGAATTGGCAGGAAAAGTGGTACGTATTTTACGAAGACCCACCATAAAAAATATTCTCAGAGTATCCAATTTAAAAAAACCCATCATTGATTGCACAACGCGTTGGATATCTACTTATAAAATGTTGGAACGTCTCTTTGCTCTTAAATCGGTATGTGATAGTAAGTCCGACGTTGCTAATTTGTTGTCGACAAAATTTTGGAATGAACTTTCATTAACTATTAGTTGTTTAAAACCAATAAATGAAGCGACTTTAAGTTTACAAAAACAACAAATCACTATTGGCGATATTTTTATTATATGGTTGACGTGCAAATCTCGTATGGAGATTTTTTCTATACCTTTTGCTCAAGATTTGCTTAAATCTATGAAGGCAAGAGAAAAAAATCTTTTGAATAATAATTTAGTTTTAGAAAACATATATCTAGATAGACGATTGAACGTCATTTTGTCCGATGAAGAGTGTGCAAAAGCACAATCTTTGCTCCATGAGACCTATACACAGCTACAGCATATAAAAGAATCTCAAATTGATGAGAATATACTTTATAAGGATCCCCATTTAAATGAAAAAAATCAAAATACCTCTAGTTCACAGACATTTACCACAGACATAGAAAGAATATTACAACAAACAGAAAAAGAAAGAGGATTACACTCTGCAAAGACAGCTTCTTCTTTTGAAATTACATTAAAAGAATTAAGATTTGCACCAAGATTAGATTACACACACACAGACACACCCACACACACACACACACACACACACACACACAGATACATACAGACACACAGACACACACACACACACATAGACACACACACAGACACACACACACACCCACATAGACACACACACACACGACACACATACGACACACACACGACACACACACGACACACACACACATACGATACACACACGACACACACACACGAAACATACACACGACACACACACACACGAAACATACACACGACACACACACATGACACACACACATACACACGTGACACACACACACATGACACACACACAAACACATGATACACTCACACATGACACACACACATGACACACATACATGACACACATAACACACACATGACACACACACGCGTCACACACACACGACACACACACACGTGACACACACACATGACACACACACACACGTGTGTGTCATGTGTGTGTGTGTCGCGTGTGTGTGTCATGTGTGTGTGCTATGTGTGTCATGTGAGTCATGTGTATGTGTGTCATGTGTGTGTATCACGTGTGTGTGTGTCACACATGACTCACATGACACACACACATGAGACACATAACACACACATGACACACATAACACACACATGACACACATGACACACACACATGACAAACATGGCACATGACACACACACATGACAAACATGGCACATGACACACACATGACACACACACACATGACACACATGACACTCATGACACACACACACACACACACCCACGACACACACACATGACACACACGACTCACACACACATGACACACACACACGACAAACACACGCACACACATGACACCCACACCCACATGACGCACACACAGACGACACACACACTCACGCACATAACACACACACACACATGACACCCACACCCACATGACGCACACACACACGACGCACAAACAGACGACACACACACTCACGCACATAACACACACACACGTGACACACACACACACATGTGACACACACACACACATGACACACACACACGTGACACACACATATGACACACACGACACACACACATGACACACACGACACACACACACACATGACACACATGGAACACATGACACTCACACACACACACGACACACACACATGATACACATACATGACAAACACACACACACACACACACATGACACACACACACACGACCCACATGACACACTCATGACTCACTCACATGTCACACATGACACACACACACACACACGACACACATAACACACACATGACACACACGACACACACACATGACACACATGGAACACATGACACTCATGACACACACACACACGACACACACACACACACACTAGACACACACACATGACACACATGAACACATGACACTCATGACACACACACACACACACACACACACACACACGACACACACACACACACATGACACACACACAAACACATGATACACTCACACATGACACACACACACGACCCACATGACACACACACACACACACACGACACACACACACGACACACACACACGACCCACATGACACACATGACTCACTCACATGACACACACACACACACATGACACACATGACACACACACATGACTCACTCACATGACACACATGGAACACATGACACTCATGACACACACACACACGACACACATAATACACACATTAAGAAATATGTAGAATAATAATTTAATTTAAAACAATTTATTCATAACATTTATGAATTATTTTCTATAATTTTAATTATTTGGTACATAACGTAACGCCTCTTCAGAACCGGTACATTAGCCAATTCCAGCCCAACGAATGTTCCAAAAGCATTATTTGCAAATTCCATTTTTTTAGTGTTTTCTTCGGCATACGTTTGGGTACTGCTTTCAGTAAATTCAATTGTTTTTAATGTATCACGGGCTTCGTAATCCTTGTATTGGTCTAAATTTTGAGAGTTTGTCTCTAATATATTATACGAGTCTTCATCAACTCGGTATTCTGTAATATATAAAAACACAAATTTGTAATTAGTAAGAACCTAGACTTTAAAAAAATAGTTTATATAATATATGTACATTACAAGTATTTTAAAACATACTTGAGAAAGAGGCTGCTGCTATTACCCTTTGAAAACCCAAAAAATCAAGAGAAAAACAAAGATTTTAACAAGTATATGTAATCAGATTAGTTAGCGCCTTCATTGAGTCGTTTTTCTGAAGAGGGGCTATCACATTGGGTTTCATCGTTATTTGGCTCCGTTTCTGGTACTATTTCAGCTTTTTATAAAATTAATTAAAAATAAAAGTAAATGTAAAATAGTTATCTATATATAAAACGTTACTAAAATCAATTTTTAAATAAAATATACAATCATAAAAAGAAAAATAAATACTTACGTTTGTGACGGTTCATTATATATTTTAATAAGTAAACGTGCACAGGTAGGAGTATGAAACTTTAAATTAACATTGTTTTGCAGTGCTACACGAATTTAGAAACAAATAGGTATATTCCCCCACCCTTTCTTCATCACCAGTTAAAAAGTAAGTTTCGGGATAATCACGTAAAACGATGTGGTAACCCTTTCGATAGGGTTAATTCTATAGTAGGGCTATCATTACAAATGATTAACACATTTCATTTGCTTAAAGGTAGGTTACACATATAATGGGTAACAAGGTTTTTCTACGTTCATTTTGAATGGGTAACCGTTTTTTTTGGCTTAACTCTAAACCCGGGTTTTACGGTCCCTGGTTGTAATGTCTGTGTATACAAATGAAGCTGTATAACATATTCGCGCGGACAGAATTTAGCTTTGATTTTGTATGTGGCACGTTATCTAGTAGTATTGTTGATCAAAGACAACGAAGTTTTATTACTTAAGTGCAAGCTACTATATTGAATCCGCTTCAAATATGTTTTTGTAAAATTTAAGATTTTAGATTTATGGGCTACTGCAACTGCAATGCTGCCGATACGGTTATTCAAGTTGGATGTTTTAATGAATTAAAAAATTAAGCACTTAAATATGTTTACTTTTTATTGAACAAGAGTATGATAATATATTAATTTTGACAAACAATTGTAACCAAACCTAAGAATTTAAATAAAAAGTCGTAAATTAAATATTATAATGTATTTACATCACACGCCACAAACTCAGTTACATGAAAATGTAAAAAATACAGTCTTTATAGCACACGCTCTCGCTCCCTCGCTCTCTCGCTCGCACTACACAGTAGTCACTCGCGCCGCGCCGCGCCTCGCCTCGCGTCCTCCGCGGTGGCGCGAGCGCGGGGGAAGGCTGGAGGCGGACACGCGCCGGAAAAATATAAATTAAAAGCTAAAACGATGACCCTAAAGAACTCCGTATTCCGAAAGCGATGAGGAATGTGTACTCGGCACGCTCGACAGTATATCGTGATATTCGGAATGGCGTCGTGTCTGGCTGTCGCTACAGCTCGTCGCGCTCGGCGTCCACCTCGTCGGCGTCGGCCTCGGCCTCGGCGTCGGCGTCGGCGTCCAGGTCGTCCTCGTCGGGCCGCGCGTCGGGCGGCAGACCGAGCGCGCCCTGCAGCATGTGCTCCACGGACTCGGCGAACTCCACGGCCTGCCCCTCCTGCAGCAGGTACCCGGAGCGCAGCGCGGCGGCGCGGTAGAGCACGAGCGCGGCGCGCGCGGCCGCGGGGTCGGCGGGGTCGTCGCGCACGCGGCGCAGCAGCTCGCGCACGACGGGGTGGCGCGGGTTGATCTCCAGCATCTTCTTCTGCGAGAGGTGGTGCTTGCGCTGCGCGTCGTCGGCCTTCTGGTGCGCGTTGGAGAGCGCGAGGCGCTCCATGTTGCCGGTCCAGCCGAAGGCCGTGGCCACGAGCGCGGCGGGCGAGCGCGCCAGGCGCCGCGACACGGCGGCGCGCGTCACCCACGCGCCCAGCTGCTCGCCCAGCCACCGCGTCAGCGGCTCGAACTCCTTCTTGTACGCCTCCAGCCGCTCCTTCTGCTGCTCATCTGCACATATACACACCTTTATAACATAACTGCACATTAATTAGTTTATTAATTATTTATTAAATGATAAGTAATTAAGATTCAAACAATAATTACAGACACCAAAACCAACATATGTTTTTTTTTAATATGTTGGGACATTAACACACAGCACCATCGAGTTCCATGGTAAGCTACGAGGCTTGTGTTGTGGATACCAGATAATTAATATTATATTATAAATATATAAAAATGAATCGTTGAATGTGTTGCTAAGCTCAAATCTCGAAAGCAGCTGAACCGATATCGCTAATTCTTTTCTTAGAATATTCCTTGAAGTACGAGGATGGTTCTTAAGGAGAGAAAAAATTAAAAAATTGCCTAAAAAAGTCTAAAAACAACAGTTTTCTATACTCCCATACAAAAGATTCGTAATAATACTTAAAAGTCAATTTGAACTTTAATACCATACCATAAAGTTTAAGTATTAGTGGAGAGGTTCCGGGAAGGCAAAATATTAATGTCAATATTTGTCAATATTTATATGATGGTAGGAGGCGGAAATATTAATGTCAATATTTGTCAATATTTATATGATGGTAACATTACTCAAAAACAAATCTATACAGATAAATTAAATTAAAGCTTCTGTTTGAAATGTCAAAATAACAGCTTTTTACTAAATGCACATGGATGTATACACGATACATATACCAAAACAGTATTTTTACAACTTTTGTCTGTCTGTTTGTTCCGGCTAATCTCTGAAATGGCTAAACCGATTTTGACGGGACTTTCACTGGCAGATAGCTGATGTAATAAGGAGTAACTTGGCTACTTTTATTTTAGAAAAAAAATAGGCTCCCCACGAAAAAAATTAAAACCAATGAAAAATTTAATAATATTCGATTCAAATAGGGAAGTTGTATACATACCCTAGGGACGAACCCGAGCGAAGCGAGGGTGTGTCGCTAGTTATTAATATAGACACCTATGACTGGAGTATAAACGTTTGTGTTCAATACACAAAAGAATCCCCCAGCGGGACTCGAACCCGCAACCGCTGGCACAGCAAGTAGGGTCACTACAAACTGAGCCAAACGTCGTCAAATATAACAACACATAGAAAAATAACACATAGAAAGTAAAAATGTCATGAACTCATTTTTTTCTTGTATTACTCAAAAATAGTGTTCCCTACCAAATTCTAAGTCGGTCGACAGCAACACAATCTCCAAGGGGTTCGAACCCTGGACGTCTCGACGCGCATTCTCATAATTCACAAGCGATACTCACTCTCGTCGAGGTCGAAGATCTCCTTGGCGATGTTCTGGAACTTCTTGCCGTCGTACTCGGGCAGCGAGGACAGACAGTACTCGTCCACGGCCTCGGTGAGGTAGAGCACCTCGTAGCCGTCGCGCACGAGGCGCTCGGCGAAGGGCGAGCGCTCCACCTCGGCGCGGCTGGAGCCCGCGATGTAGTAGATGTGCGACTGCCCCGGCTTCATGCGCGCCGCGTACTGCTCCAGCGACGTCATCTCCGCGCCGCCCGACGAGTGGAAGCGCAGCAGCTTGGCCAGGCGCGAGCGGTTGGAGGGGTCCTCGATCACGCCCAGCTTCACGTTGGTGGAGTACTCCTTCCAGAACTGCTGGTACTCGTCGTCGGGAATCTTGCGCAGCATGTCGAGCGCCTTGCGCACCAGCTTCTTCTTGATGATCTTGATGAGCTTGTGCTGCTGCAGCGTCTCGCGACTCACGTTGAGCGGCAGGTCGTCGGAGTCCACGATGCCCTGGATGAAGGCCAGGTAGTTGGGCATGAGCTCGTTGAACTCGTCGGTGATGAAGACGCGGCGCACGTAGAGCTTGATGTGGTCGGTCTTGGTGCCGTAGCGGTTGAAGGAGTCGGCGGGCTGCGCGCGCGGCACGAACAGCAGCGCGCGGAAGGTCACCTCGCCCTCGGCCACGAAGTGCGCGCGCGCCAGCGGCGCCGCGCTGTCCTTCGTCAGCGACTTGTAGAACTGCGTGTACTCCTCCTCGCCCACCTCGCTGGGCTTGCGCGTCCAGATGGGCTTGTTGTCGTTCATCAGCTCCCAGTCCCACACCGTCTTCTCAGTCTTCTTGGGCGCGCTCTTCTCCTCGCCGGCGTCCTCCACCTTGGCGTCGTCCTCGGAGGCGTCGGAGGCGTCGTCGGCCTCGGGGGCCTCCTCGGGCTCCTCGACGGTCTCGGTGCGCGAGGCCCACAGGTAGATAGGGAAGTTGATGAACTGCGAGTACTTCTTGACGAGCGCGCGGATGGTGTCGGGCTGCAGGAAGTCGGCGGCCTCCTCCTTGAGGTGCAGCGTGATGTGCGTGCCGCGGCGCAGCGTGTTCCCGCGCGGGTCGGGCGCCACGCTGAAGGAGCTGGCGTCGGACTCCCACACGTGCTGCACGTCGTCGTTGTGCTTGGACACCACGGTGACGCGGTCGGCCACCAGGAAGGCGGAGTAGAAGCCGACGCCGAACTGGCCGATCATGTCGTTCATCTCCTGCGCGCCGCTCTTCTCCACGTCCTGCATCTTGGAGAGGAAGTCGGCGGTGCCGGACTTGGCGATGGTGCCGAGGTTGGTGACGAGGTCCTGGCGGGTCATGCCCACGCCGGAGTCGATGATGTGCAGCGCGCGGCGCTCGGGGTCCGCCTTGATGCGCACGCTGAGGTCGGCGTCGGCCGCCAGCGCCTCGCGCTCCGTCAGCGACAGCAGCCGGATCTTGTCCAGCGCGTCCGACCCGTTCGAGATCAGCTCGCGCAGGAAGATCTGCGATCCATTTGTGAGGGAACAAGAAATAGCTCATTTATATTCAATTAAAAAAAATTAAAATAAAAAATATGAAAACCGACTAGAACTTAAGGCATTTTTTTACATTAAAGCTGTACAATATGTATGTAGGAATGATAAAGAGAATTCAATTTTTATTTTTTATAATATTAATAATATTTATATGGACATTACCTCTTTATTTCTGTAAAGCGAGTTAATGATGAGCTTCATCATGCGGTTGACTTCGGTCTGGAAAGTGAAGTTCTGCGCGCGCTCGCGCATCTCGCGCTGCTGCGCCACGCTGAGGCCGTCGGGCGAGATGGCCTCCTCCTCGCGCAGGACCGCCTCCGCGTCTGCGCCACAAATAAAATGTTAAAAAAATAATGTTTTTTACAAAATAGATAAATCTTGCGACAAGCTTTTATATAGGGTTTGATCTAAAGTTTAATTAAGTTAAATATTTTTTTACAATTATTTTCTCCTGAAACGTATCAATTTTAAACGATTTTTCAGCTTTATTTAATGGTTCTAGAAAAAGTAATTACTCTAAAACCAATTTGTTGTGTTAAAATAATTTTATGTTATTTACATTTCTGTTTCGTTGCTAGGAACAGTTCTACTGATGCAAATCGATCAAACTGTACCATACGAGATCACAGGAGCAGTGTGAGCTAGCTACGTTTGTACGAGCTGAGAGTCGTTGGTTCGACGAATTTTCACCTACAAATATGTCTACGGATTTCAGTGAGCATGAAGCGAACGCGGCCGCGGGACCGACGGAGACTAACGTGCACTTACATTCGAAATCATTTAAATTGCGCTTTGCTTCACAGAGAGAACTTGGCAGGTCTTATGTGTCGGCTGTGAAACCGCTGGGGTTACGTAAGTCATTATGTTATTGAATCTCTAAATGTAAGATATATAAGAGTACATATTATGTGTGTATTTTAAGAGAAACATAAGTTGTAATCGCGACTTGTGAAATACATCAAATGCGGAATAAGTACATGCTATTGAGATAAAGTGAATATTATAAATTACCCGTTGATCAAAGTATAATTAAATTATGTCATTACTCATTTTATATGCATGAAACGATAATGCCTTTGTTTTTGCAGTGATTAAAAATGAATTAAAGGAACTCATTTTTAACCGACTTCCAAAAAGGAGGAAGTTTCTTAATTCATCGGAATCTTTTTATGTATGTTCACCGATTACTCGGAGACGCCTGAACCGATTTGGATTTGGATTTTTTCTAAGGGTATACTTCCCAGGTGGTCACATATAAATTTATCGAAATCGGTCGAGCGGTTTTTAAAAAAATCATATTTTTTTTAAATAGTTTAATCGAATATGTTACTAAAAAACTTTCTTCTTACAAATTATCTGCATATTACGTCTACACTAAAAATGGAAAAATAAAAACTTTAAAAAATAAATAAAAACCGACTTCCAGGCACTAAAATATAAAAAATAACTAAAGGTTTTCATCTTCTCTATAATATAAAAATGAATCGCTGAATGTGTTCATAAGCGCAAATCTCGAGAGCAGCTGAACCGATTTCGCTAATTCTTTTTTTAGAATATTCCTAGAAGTACGAGGATGGTTCTTACGGAGAAAAATTTAAAAAATTGCCTGAAAGTCTAAAAACAACACTTTTCTATACTCCCATACAAAAGAGTCGTAATACCATAATATCTTGCCATAAAGTTTAAGTGTTAGTGGAGAGGTTCCGGGAAGGCAAACAATTGAGTGACATTAGTATCGTATAAATATTGATGTCAATATTTGTCAATATTATTAACAATATATATATATATATATATATATATATATATATATATATATATATATATATATATATATATATATATATATATATATATATATATATATATATATATATATATATATATATATGATTGATTAGGTAAGTATCTATTCTAAATGAAAACCTCCGTTTAGTTATTTTTTACATTTTAGTGCCTGGAAGTCGGTATTTTTTTATGAAAACTCTTTTGTTTATTTATTTTATACTTTATTTACTTTAAAACGTAAAGTAAACGGTGTGTAGCGGCGGTTGTGAGCGCGAAGTTCTACCGGCGCGAGCCCGCGGGCGAGGTCGAGGAGGATCGCGCGGCGCGGGCGCTGCGCCGCGTCGCCGCCATGTTCCGCTGCGGCCCGCGGGAGAAGTACGACGCGCCAGTCACCACCTCACAACAGTGTGTATCATCACGCTCTATTGCCTGGCGTCCACTAGGGCGCCGAGTCGAAGCGAATCTAATCGAGTTTACCGCGCGCATTGCTCGTCAGGCGAATTTCTTCGGCGACGCGTTTCGACGCGGGGAATCGCATGCGCACCGGCGAGCTTTTTTGTATTTAATTTAAAGAGTACCTATGTTTCATGAAAAGAAACAATAATTAACTATTATGTTACAGTACAACTATACTATTATACTGTATAGTTTAAAGATTTACCCTCACTTCGCTCGGGTTCGTTACTAAGTACGTTTTAATTTTTTTAGCGGAACCTAATTCTTTTTCTAAAATAAAAGTATATAGCCTAAGTTACTCCTTATAACATCAGCTATCTGCCAGTGAAAGTCAGACGGACAAAAATAAAAAAAAAATGTTTTTCTTATAAGTAGCGTATATAGTTTCATGTTCATTTAGTAAAAAACTGTTATTTTGAGATCACAAACAGACACTTCAATTTTATCTACCTGTATCTAAAGTTTAGTATACACCTATAGGTGTATACTAAACTTAAGATTTTTTAAAAGTTTAGTATACACCTATAGGTGTATACTAAACTTAAGATTTAAGAAGATCGAAGCGCATTCACGACCTAGTTTGCTGACGAGTTGCGATAAATGAACAATTCGATTCGATTCGGCTGAAATGGATGCACCAGGAATAAATGCGACTCGAGTCGACTCGCCTCGATTCAACGCGTTTCCGCTGTAGTCGACACCAGGCTTATTAATCCATACAGCCGCCTAACGAACTCCTCTAGATAAGGCAATGGTGCGGGTGGGCGGGCTCTCGTACATGCTTTTATATAACACTTGGGAATCAGCTTTAAGAGTTGATGTGCATAACTAACAGACAGTTGACACGAGGTGGCACCACCGCGCTTTAACTTTGAAACAGTTCGCACTGAAAATTGCTAGTTTTGATAATTACATTACTTACATTTGACAGCATTTCCATTAAAATCAGGGGAGATTGCAAATTGTATAGATTTTTATAATGTGGTTTTATCCAGCATACTGCCTATTGTGTCATGTAAAAACGCATTTGTACGCATTTGTCTCTCTCTCTCTCTTTAATGCGACAAAACTTAACTTTAGACTTTAGTAGAGACGTGCCTTAAGGTCCACTAACAAGTCGCTAGTACATTTTAAATAAAAATTATTATACAATATATTATTATATTATTAATATTATTATATAATATTACATTATATTATGTTTTTTATATAATTATTTAATATATGTATATATTTTAAATAAATATTTCTTACAAGTTATTGTAGTGAATAATTTTGTGGAAAGATGCCATCTATAACAAGTATATGATAACTTTGGAGATGTCTAAAGCCTTAATTCCCGTGACCAAGACTGCTGTAAAGCATTTGAAACGTTGGGAACCAAGAGTCAAATTAAATATGCAAAAAAGTCTGAAAAGATAATTTTATTTAAATTGTTATATATTCACGTAAATCTAAGAGAGTACTTTTGCAAAGTAAATTGTACCTCTACTTCCAATATTTGTTGATTGTTAACTCTACATCATCATATAAACAAAATGTCCTTTGAAGGAAAAATTCTAGTTTAAATTGTTGAAATATTTACTCTAATAAGAGTAACAATACACAGTGTATTACACAGATATGGATGGTGGTGGGACAAAGCAAGATCTATAGAAGAGCCAACTCGTGGTGACAGAAGGCTTCATCATCATATTCAAGACTCAGCATGGCTCAAAGAGAGGTTGAGAGTACTAACCACAGACACTGGTTTTAAAAGACTTTGATGTTAAAATTAAGTTAACAACTTAAATATGTCTTTTAAAAATTTATTAAATTGAATATTTAATATATTTTAATGTTTTGATTGTAAGTTTCTTATCTTTTATGCTATTAAATTAGACCTAATATTGATGAAGTATAATTAGTATCATATTGTTATAAGATTGAAACGTGGATATTATATACTTTTATATTACATATTGAAATACAGTCACATAAACAATATGAGGCCAATGTGGGCAAAAATAAATGCTTAAGTATTTTTCAACTCTGAAGCTTAAGAATAAATAATGTTATGGTCATTTAAGTTTGATGAGTATTGCTATTTTTTACCGACTTCCAAAAAGGAGGAGGTTCTCAATTAGTCAGAATCTTTTTTTTATGTATGTTCACCAATTACTTGAAGATGGCTGAACCGATTTGGATTTTTTTTTTGTTTCAAAGGGTATACTTTCCAGGTGGTTATTAAAAAACTTTCTTTTTACATATTACCTGCCTATGACGTCTACACTAAAAATGGAACTAAAAACTTAAAAAAATACCGACTTCCAGGCTCTAATCTAATAGGTAAATATGGTTAGGTATGAACTCTAATTGCAGTTAAAATATTATACATCAATTTATGATGTAAGGTAGGTTCGGGTAATAAGGCCTAGCTAAGGGAGATTTGAAATAAAATAAAAACTGTATACCGAAATCAATCAATTTTAATGTTAAGTATACCTATAGAACCATTACTATTAAATAAAAACCAAAAATGGCAATTTTTGCTGTAAACAAAAACAAAATTAGACATTTTTTAAAACACTATCTAAAGGCCTTTTTATACTATGGTCGGGTAATAAGGCCTAAGTCTTTATACATACATAAATAATCAAAATATGCATCTTATATTTGGTAATTGCGATCAATAATCATAGATATGCATTAATCACGCATGAAGTCTTAAATAAGAAACAGATTCCTTTGATTAACAGCCGTCAGGACACTCAAAAGTGTCCCTATCATCTGCTGATAAACCAACACATTCCTCTTGATACCACTTGCCGCATTTAGCACATTGCCTTATATCTGCCATCTTACCCTCTTTACAACTATGACAGTACCAGCTCACTCAGCTCGCTTAGTACCACTTCTACCTTTGAGATTCGACGTTTTTATTATTTTCGTTCCTTTCTTGTTTTTGTCAAACCGGTCTTTAGTTAGTTTAGACTGTAGTTCTCCTGTAATTTAAGAGTTTTCTCCTAAGTATTGGTGTTTTTTTCAATCCTAATTATCATAAACTTCACTCAGTCGCTTAAAGTAATTATCAACAATAAATTTATTAAGCTTTTGAGCTCTGGCCGGGTTCATGAATTGAGCTTTTCTTCTAGATATTTCTGCATGTCTTTTCATGAATGCTTTAAATCAATCTTTCTTTACCTGCAACTCTAGGAGATGGGTTGAAGTTATGCTTGATGTTATTAAAATGTTCGCAAATTAAAGATCAAGCGTCGAGAATCAGTGGTGGCACAGGCAATCCAATTTCAGCGAACTTCATGATCCTCCTTACAAATTCAGTTTCCTGGTCGTCACTGAGTATGGATTTTTGACCTAGTGTTTTTTTAAACTGCCGGTCTGAATACGATTCCTAATGGTTCTTCTGGGAACTTTATACTTCTCAGCAGCTTTATAGGTGCTCAGTATTCCTCTTTCTACCGCTCGAACAGCCAACACCAAGTCATTTTCAGACCACAATGCTCGTTCGGGAGGCATTGTGATTGCTGTGACTAAAAAGAGACAATAAACAATTAGTAAATAGTTGTCATTACTTTTTATAACACTTCTAGCTATTTAAAAAATATACTAACTAAAGCTGTGATATTGATACAAAAAGGAGGATAATAAGGACTACGATCAAATTTTGTAGGCCTTAATAACCATCGGCAACACGTGTAAAGAAAAATAAAAATAATATGAATCGAACTATGATATTATAATTTAAACTTCTAAGGTCATAAAAGTATGAAATTATAGAAATATATAATGTAAAATTACATAATTATGTAAAATATTTTAAAAAATACTTACGTTTGTAACTGACGGTTTTTTATTATTCGTGGTGTCACAACCACATCCCACAATGAAAGATGTCGCACTGGCGACATCACACGGGCCCTTTTGTCGCGACATGTTTAAGGCACCATCTTTGAGTGTTAGCTACCTATGTTTGTGATCTTGAGTGATTCAAACAATTTAAAGTTGGATTTCTAGAGCTTAGGCCTTATTACCCGATAGGCTTTATTACCCGAACCTACCTTATTTTACGTATCGAAATATATAAGATTTGCTTTGCATTGACTGGCACCGACTTTTTAAGTATCTGATTAGGTAATCTATTCTAAATAAAAAAAAGCCATTTACTTATTTTTACATTTTAGTGCTTGGAAGTCAGTTTTTTTTAAGTTTTTACAAGTTTATTAAATATTGTAATAATAATTCTTACAAAAATTATGGCAATCATTAAAGTCAATGTAAATAAATAAAACTTAAATGCTGTTAATGGGTTAGCACATAATTTCAATATCACTGGACTAGAAAGTTTCTTTACTCTGAATATTGTTTTTAGAGAAAAGTAGTAAGGTAGGTACATCAATTGCCAATAAAAAGGCAAATTCAGGAAAAACTGATGGTGTGTTTTGTGTATAGAATTTTAGTATGCTTAGTATGAACTCAAGAACATACTTTATTAGGACAGTATGATGTCTGTCAGGAGTTAGAGAATAAAATTATAATATTATTGTCTCAAATTTCTTTAGTTCTTCTTTAGTACTTCTTAAGCTAAAAAGTATGTATATTTATAAGAAAAGTTATGGCTTTATTTCCAACTTCATTTATCAAGTGATTATGTTTGATAAGAAGTAGATATTACAATACTTAGGCATAATCCTTTTATCCTACTAATTGCTTAAGGTCACATACATTGATAGCCTATTTTTGAGATAATGATGTGAAAAAGCCACGTTTATAGGTACTAACCTGTCCGAGAACCTTCACGCGACGCACCCAAGTCGGCGTCTACTGTCACCTCCTCCACGGTTCCTACACCCTCTTGGGCCTGGCACCATCCTGTAAATTATTTTATTAGGATTAAATAAAGTTCAAGACGACTTCTTATTAGGCGTCGGAATAAATAATAATACAATCGCGTAATTTAGAAAGTTCTAGAATGTATGGGTACATTTTTGTCGGCAACGTTAGTTTTACCCATTTCGATGTATCAGTCATCGATAATAATGCGAAAGTATTAGAAACTTTATTGTATTAACTTTATTCACAAAGTTAAAAATCCAAGCCATTGCAACGTCGACAACCATACAGTATTCTACTAAATAATAATTAGACTAATGTAGTTACAAATTAAAATAATATCTCAGTACCTGAAAGTAGCAGGACGCCCACCCCGAGTAGGAAAAAATACTTCATCTTTATTCACTAATCTATTTTGTGTAAAAATTTATATTCAAACACACAATACCGGCGTCAGCCGCCGCACAAATTCTTATTTCAACAAACCAGAAACTCAACAGAATAACAGCTTGGGTTTGCCAGATGAATTATTCTTGACTCGAGTTTTACGCACGCTTTATGGATAAGATAACAAATAATCTTTATAGTGATTGGATACAATAAGCGGATAAAGGTGACGACCTCCAATCACATTTAAACACGCCAGAAAACCAGCAAATAAGAGGAGGTAAAATACAAATGTCTTAATGCCATTGGACAGATTGAGATGAGACAGATTTAAAAGTTGACAACATTATGTAAGCCTGACGTTCAATATTTTTCATCTGTGTAAAGAATATTATTTTAAAAGGGGGTTTTATACGTGTTACATACAAAATGTTTTACTAAGCTGGTGACTTCTGCTTGATGATTCTTTAATATTCTTTAGGCAGTGATTCATTGCGATTATTTAATTCTTTTCTTTTGATCGATAATCGTTACTTTTAAGAATGCGGTATTTATAAGTAATAAGCACTCCTAGAAGTCACCAACTTTAAGAATTGAATTACATTTGTAAGTGTTTTAAAATAGGTATTTACAATTGCATTACATAATTTGGATTTGGAGGGATCACATGACGATTTTGATTCTCTACTCTTCGAATTGGTTTCTTTTATCAAAATGCCTATGAGTTTTTAATGGTCTTGGCTCACTTTTAAGATATAATAGAAATATTCTTAAATATTTGTGAGATATTTATAAGCTCTATAGCGTGGTGATTTATTTTTCATATTATTTAAAATTTAACTAAATTTACAAAATCACAATTTTTATATATAAGGCTATGTGGACATCATTTTAAAGAAAGTGATTTTAAAACTTAAATCGTCTACAGGTGATTTTTTTTATTTCTTGTGCTTTTTTACATATTAATTACAGAGTTTCATACAAACTTTTATTCCCCATGTTACCTACAAGGGGGAAGAATTTCGAAAAATTCTTTCATAACGAACATCTTATAAGGATTTGTCCTCCAAATTTCACATTTCTACGATCATCGGTTTAGGCTATGTGTTGATCCATCAGTCAGTCAGAACCACCTCAAGATGCACCTCTCCTTCTCAATCCTTCCTTCAGCTGGTCTAACTTCCAAGTACAGTACATTACATGATTGCACAGGTAAGATGCGAATTGCGAACACAGTAGAAGCAAAAAACGAGGTATAAGTGAAAGAGATATCACAATAAATTGCTTAATCTCAGACTGAATTTATTGAAGATTTTCCTTCTTTCGAGAAATCTTACCCATTAGAAAACACACCTTGTCACCATAGAGAACTATTACCATGGATGACAATAAAAACTATTATTAGAGAATCTGTTTAGTTGTCATTTGTCATTTTATTCTAAATAATTTTGAATTGTCACAATCAGTTGCCGAATGCCAGGGATAACTCGAATAGAAAGATTTTTGAAGCATGAAATCAAGAGAAACTAACAAAAAAACCTAATTAATCTTATATAGATATATGAAATGGAAGTTGAAATTTCACCTAAGCATATGTCAAGTAAACGGAAAATAAAATATAGTAAAAGCGCATGGAACATTCATGAGTTTGAAATCTGGAGTGGAGACCTTATTTGTCGGGTCGTTGTTTTGCGTATGAAGGACTCTTTGCTGGTATGGGTGGGTGGTAGAGATGCTCAACTTAATGAGGTGGCCCTAGGAGTGCCACTGGCGGTTGGTAACGGTGCCCTCGCTACTACATTACTTGGTGAAGAAGGAAACACTTCTGGACTTGCTCGTCGCCTCACTTTAGCTCTTGGTCGACAAGTATATGTATGTTGTGGAAAAACATTTGATCGATTTACTGGTCCATTGGTAGAACGAGGGATAGTTGCTGAAATTAAGAATCGGCCAGATTGTTTTTAAATGTATTTATTTTAAAGAATAACATTGTTTTTACAATAAACAAAATGCCCAGTTGTTTAAGTTTATTTTAGAATCTAAACTAAGTCAGTTTAGTCATTTTAGAAATATAACCCAACTTGGATAATATAATTAAAAAAGATGACCATTTATAACTGAATAAAAAGGCTGCTGTTTAGTATATGGGATGAAAAAGTTTTACTTATTCAACAGGGTCTACAAAAATGTCATATTATGAAATAAAAATTAATTAAAACAAAATTGTCAAGACATCAGTTTTTATCTTAGACTAGATTTGGGAGATATTAGAGGACTTTAAGAAAGGAAAAAATCAATTAATAAAGATCCTGAAAAATGTGTTCGCTACAGATCTAGTTATTTGAAGCTATTAGGATTTTCTAAGTTGATTTTTGTCATTTTCAAATTGTTATGAATGTCAAAGCTTATGTTTAGTGTTATATTTATGACTTAAGAAGTAAAGTAACTCTGTTACTATTTGCTTAAATAAAGAACCTAACTTACATATAGGAACTATTACCTATAGGAAAATTTATAATTACAACGCACTCTCAATTATTTCGTTAAATATAAAAGTGTAATTTGGATAGACCAAAGAGTATTCATGCGGCAAGTACAAACATAAGAAAAACACTAGCATATCAGTGAGGTGGTTTAAGAATGTTAAGTTTGGTGTGTAATGTGTATGCAGTATGTACATTGCCTATTTGCAAAAAAATAGTTTTCATCTCTATAATTTTGAGAAATTTAGTCTGTATTTGAAATTAATACATCAAATGAAAACTACTGAATTGAATTCAAGGGATTAGAACTAATATTTATAGTCCATAAAATGTCGAGGTAACATTTAATTTTTATTTAATTAAAATCGAAGTTACTAAACATTACTTATATGATATTATGACGAATATAAAATTAGAAAAAATTCAATAATTATTTTCAAGAACCGTAAAAACATTTTTTTTCATATTTTATATAAATACGGCCTAGTGGGCGGTATTTATATGATCTACATGCGTAGGTCCAGATTGAAATAGTTCCCGGAGGGCCGGAACTATGTCTTAAACCAGAACGATATCGTTCCAATGCGAGATGTCAATTGAAACAGGTTCACAGTTCCATATAGTTCCACATGTGCAGGAGTGGGATGGAGCGAGTGAACGAATATATTGGACCGATCACCGGAGCGACAGACTGAACTGAACGTAACCAACTCCTGCCGAACCTACCCGAGCTATAGCTGTAATCTGTATATTAAATTTTAAGGGCTTCCTCACAAGAGTTAAACTTTTTTTAGTAAACATCTGTTAAGCCGCGTCCACATGCTGGGTGCTTGCCACAAGCACCGAGAATCATAAACACGTGCCAAACACCGAACACAAACTAAATAAATTAAATAAAAATAAAAAAGCCTTTCATTTCTTGCGCTTACAAAAAAATGCTATTAAAAACAATTAAAGAAAGTAGGTATTTATTAATTATTAATAAAATCCTTTCATATTCCATTATAGTAATATTATTAGATTTAATGTTACATTATGTATATAAAGAATGTTTATTAATTTAAACTTTTTTTTCTTAATTTTTAGAATACCTAATAGGAATAAGAATTTATAATTAATAAAAAGAATAACAATAAAAATGAAAAATTAACAACAATGTATATAATAAAATAATTCGTAAGTTAAACAATCACAATATTTTTATTTAATGAAGTAGTTTTTAAGTTTTTATTTTCCATTTTTAGTGTAGATATAGTAGGTACCTAGTACCAAAGTAAGAAGAGGTCTAACAATAAAAAATATATTTATACGTGTCGAATTGAGAACCTCCTTTTTTTTGAAGTCGGTCGATGAAAACTATATCTTTCGCTATGCTGTGCTCGTGAACCGATGACAGTGATAACCTGTTAAAATCGGAACGATCGGATCGGATGAACTATCGGAACTAGACAGTTCCGCGAACATGTTTCGTGAACATAGTTCCTTTATGGAAAGAAACTATTCCATGTTCAATCCACTCTTCTCTCTCTCTCTAGTCTCTCTCTGCCTAGTACATAATATTATGAACAGCGTAGAGTTTCAGTTTACTAGTGTGCTGCATAGATGGCGCTATACAAATGACATTTTCCGAATAGGTTTTTTGTAAAAAATTGACCTAATTGATACATATATTATACTAGCGTTGCCCGCGGCTCCGTCCGCGTTCAGATGATCAAAAACCAAATTCTTAGGTTTTACATAATTATTAATTAGTGTACTCTTACAATGCAGTTTTGTATTTTTTCTCAAAAATGAGATATTTTCCCGCGGTTAAAAGTATTCTATATGTTGACCGGGATGGTTATCCCGGTAGCTATCACCGTACCAAATTTTATTGAAATCCATCCATTAGTTTTTCTGTGATGCGGTAACAGACAGACAGACAAAAATTCTAAAAACCATACCACTGTATCGATAATAATGTTTAGGTATTTCATAAAGTTATGTTATTATCATATTTAATAAAGTTATGCTTGCGCAATCTCTTTTACTGCCCATACTCGATTACGCCGATATATGCTGTTTGGATGTGACAGAGAAGCTACTGAATAAACTGGAGCGTCTCCAAAATCTCGCCATACGCTTTATCTATGGTCTGCGTAAGTATGATCATGTCTCCAACTTCCGAGCTCAACTTCAATGGCCTCGCCGTGATATGCACATTCTTTCGTTCCTCTTTAATATTGTTCATAATCACAATTTTCCTTCATACCTTCGTTCCCGGTTTAATCTGCTTCCGACTCCTTCGCGTTCCAGGCGACCCTGCATCACAACGATGCTTGAGATACCGAGGAGTAACATCAAGTTTTTACAAAACTGTTTTTACGTGCTGCAGTGTTATGGAACAAACTCCCTAAAATCCTACAAGAGAGCGGCCTTCTACAGCTGCGTTTAAAGCCAACATAAAAAAGCATTTTCTAGCTCAATCTTGAACAGTGAACTACTTATATATTTTTCTGTTTAGCAATCACGCACATATGTATGTTTATGTATATATTTATTTATATGTAGGTAAGTACATATATATTTATATATTTCTGGTATGTATTAGATAACATGTTTATATTATATATCTACACTTTTATTTATGTGTTTATGCTTATATAATAAGTATTTAATTAAAATGTGCATATATAAATTTTAGTTTTATTTATGTTTTTATTAGTTTACAATTTTTCTCTGCACTTTCTCTCTCTGTCCCGCTACTTTACACTATTTCCCACATACCTACATGGGTTGACTGGAAGAGATCTCTTATAGAGATAAGTCCACCTTTGTCCACGTCTCTTTCAATGTATTTTTTTATGACTACTATTTTGTGCAATAAAGAATATAATATAGGTATAATGGAGATCTCTTACCATTTACATCAAACCTCTGTATTTAAATTGTAATTTAGAAGGTCGAATGCCTTATTTCTAGCACCATAGTGATGCATTTTCCTGATCAACGTCTCATCATGCACCCAATCAAAGGTCTTGGATAAGTTACAGAATATCTCAAGTGCATACTGTGACCTTTCCCAAGCGTCAGAAATACCTATAGGTATTTTACAAGTAAAATTATAAGATGCAAAAATACAATAATAATAAAATACCTGATTTAAAAATAGGGATTATTTTACTGTTTCATTATATCAGGAAACACACCACGCTCAAAGCTGCTATTAAATATTGTTGCTAGATGAGGTGCAACAACATTAGTCAACAGAACTAATAAGTTTTACAGATATTCCCCATATCTCAGCTTCAGAATATCATTAGCTGTTTTCTTGAAATCCAAACTTGATAATATCTTTAGGGAACGGGTATACACTATACCTACAAGTTTAATTTTAAATAGTCAATTGTATTCTTTAACGTTTGTTGGACTCGACAATGGCATGAGAAGAATTGAGAGATTGCGTTGTTGAAGTTGGAGAGTCTAAAGTAAGAAAATTATCATTGATATTCAAGTTAAAATCAAAGCTGCGATCTGTGACTCTTACTGTTTCATAACCAATATTTTATGTTCCATGTCATTTTTACTTTATTATGTCATCATCATCATCATGGTACCACAGACCAGGGTGACCCTTGGCTTGGTTAAGTAAATCTTTCCAGTTTTCCCTATTTCCGGCTGTCTGTCTTTAACTTCTGCTACCCATTGATCTTATGTTCTGCTCTACGCCGTCTAACCACATGAGCGTAGGCCTGCCTCGACTTCTGCGCACATCCGGCTTACCCTCGAGTAGGCGTTTGAGCATACGGGAATTCTCCATCATCACTACATGCCCAATCCAGCGCAGGCGTTGGATTTCAATGGTCTTAATAACGTTTGGTTCTTCGTAAAGATGGTACAGCTCGTGAGTGTAAAACGCGTTCGCCAACATTCGCCTTCTAGCACTGCTCCGAAAATTCGCCTAAGTATTTTGCGTTCTGTTATACATAGGCTATGCACCCCTTTGAGCTTACATAGCTTTTTTCTAACTACTCAGCACATTCTACCTTTAGTAATCCAGTCGCCCATCAATCCACTCTCCATCCATCCTACATCCACGCCAGTCGGCTGTCTCTTTCCATTCAAATTATAATTTTAATTTTTACTTCAATTTCCTTTTTTTAAAAAACATATTTATCCAGACACTCGTAACAGTTCGAACACCAAAAGAGCATTTTCGTCCTTTTTTGTCAGCACCCTGTTCTCTAACCCATAGGTACGTCAATATTGGTCTTAATAAGGTTATAACGTATATAGATTAAGCTAGATGCTTCGTGATAGTATTTTGGAACGAAAATAGTTTTCCGCCCTAATTCTTATATTTATTTCGGATGTTATTTCGTTCCCGTCCGTTACCATAGAACCGCCTTTTTACGTTGCTAATTCGTTTGTGTAAGTTTTTTGAGTCCTTTTTATCGTATGTCGCTACAGATTTTTTTAGGTCTTCCTCTTCGTATTTTTTTTCTTTTTCTTGTGGAGATGATTTTCCTTCCTTCAACAATTCCTGTAGGTACTCGTTCATTATCGACTCACTCGAGTGTACTTTTGTTTTAACAATTTATGTATGTAGGTACTTGATTTTTCTTGCCAGTGACCTTTTGGCAGACAACATCAAACCATGCATTACGCCATCGCTCTTCTTCTACACCAAGCGCATCAGTTGCCGCTTAATGTAAAACAGTTCCGGATTCGATTCTCTTTTAGGTCCTGAGGTGTTACTTATTTTTCTTTTGTGGTTGTGGCTCTTATCTTACTGACTGCCAAACAATTATTAGAAACTATGTTGGCACCCCTATGACTTCGGACATCCAGTAGATTATTAAAATGCCTACTGTTGATGAGTACCTACGTGTTCGATTTGATTGCGTGTGAACTCATCTGCTGATGTCCAGGTTATTTTATGTAGGTACCGATTTATGTGGGAAACGGGAAACATATGCTGCCAAAGACCATGCCAAAGGACGTTGCCAGATCGATAAGACGTGAACTAATATTGTTGCACAATTGATGAAAGCTGTGTTTTGCTTTGGTTGGCCGATAAAATTGTTACTGTTCAATTTTGGCGCTTAGATCCCCGATTATTATTTAAATGTCACCTTTGGGAGAATTCGTGTAGATATATGATCTCCACCTCATAATATTATCTCTCTTTTTTTTCTGGTTCTGCTTCTGTCTGAACTCAGCTTGTTAATAATAGATTTACAAGATGGTTTACAATTTTATGAATATATTATCATTAGTAGGTACCTACCTACCTATCTAGATGTGATTCTAGTTGGCTCAAGAAATAAATTATTCAGGTTAGGTATATAATAAAAGCAAAGATTTAAATCTCAGGCGTGTAGTGGAATTATCTAATAAATTTATATTAAAATCACTACAAACAATAATTAATTTATTCTGATAAATTAATTATTGTTTGTAGTGAGTAGTCTTTTTAATTTTAATAAAGCTTCGATTAGGTACTTTCTCAAAATACTCATAGATAGGTATGAACCTTCATACGGTCTGTAGGTATATGCATAGGTAAACCCACAATGGTCAACAATGAAGTGCTCAAGCTCTGCGGAGGCTAGTTCGATAGCCGCCAAACTTTTAACAACTTTTGATAAAAAGTTCGCGCTTCTGTTGTGGCAATAGAGCGCTGGGCGGCTGTAAAAAGTGTCGAGGGTGAGGGGGCGGGGCCGGGCAGTGGTGGGGTGTGGCAGAGTGTGGCGGGGCGCGGGGTGCGGTGGGGGGGGGGCGGGGCGCGCCAATGGCGGCGGCGGCGGCAGGCGCGCCAGTACCGCGCGGCGCGCCGCCTTGAACGCATTCTTTGCGCGTACCGAGCCGCGCTCCGCGAGCCGCGACACTGACCCGCCGTGACCGCCGCTGCCGGCGACCTGTGTTTACGTTACTCCTTGTGTTGTTAGTGGCCCCTGGTGTTCCGTGCCTGTGTTATACGATACGGTAAAGTGGACGGTGACCCTCTGTGTGATCGGCGCTCGTGACTCGTGCTGAGCTTCCTTGTCTTACGAGGAAAAGCTGTTCGTTGCACTTCGTACGCACGTAAAGGTACTAATTGCATTAAGTTAGTGTTATACTTGCAATGGAACTTGTCAAATAAAATGCCATAGATCTTCTAATGTGTTGAATGTAGGTACCTACAACTAATAAATACCTAATCTCAGAAAGCCAGGTTCGTACCCTACACATAAGAGGTTTTACGAGTATATAAGGTGCCATGAACAGTAATCAGTAATCGCATTCTTTTATTTAAATCGTACAACTTAGGTAACTAATATTTTTTGCGCGCCATGTCGTACTTCTTTAAACATATCTTTAATCTTTAACATTTAGGTATAAAAATAATGTATTTTGTAATTGTAAAGTGCTTGATATATCAATTATTATAAAAAAATTTAGCTCAGTCCACTTCGGTTAAAATTTTTCCTTAAGTAACAATATTGTTAATAAAAAAGAATATAAATGTAGACCTGTCAGTAGGTATAAGTAGAATTAATTATTTTAAAGAGAAAGTGACACTGCACAAAATGCTCTTGCATAAAATGGAACTGATTGTAGATAATCCAAATAACTAAGTACCTACTATGTGTTTTTTTTTAATTCACTTTTAAAGTCATTTAATAACTAACATCTTTAAAGTAAAAACTTTTTATAAAAACCCTAAACTGAAATTTAGCGACTGGCAACTGTCGGCATATACTGAAGTAGAGGTAAATTATACCTATGCATTGTATAGTGTGAGGAATTGGAATCATGATTCATGACCAATGCCGGAAAAATGGAACATTGTCCATAGTCGTCGAGCAATGGTTTATTCGAACATTTTAAAAAATGTTTGCATTCGGCTAAGTCTATATACATACCTACATTAGAAATAAAATTTTAAATTCAGATAATAAAATTAAAGCCACTTGGGATGTAATTACTCGTACGGCTGGTAGATCAAAGACCGCTAGTAAACCTGTGAAGCTAACAATAGATTATAATAAGTACTTATAGCACTGAGTTTAGACGGAGATGCTGCAAATAGGTACTTTTGAGAATTATTTTTCGGAAATCCCAATAAAGGCCACATCTTCTTTAAAATCATCTTCCCTAGATGCAATTAATCTCTTAGAGAAATGTACATACTACATATCAACTCGTCAATCTGATGAGTACTTATGAGAGATGATGAATGTGACTAGTTTAAGTTTTCGCATGTACCTAGATACATAGGAAATTATAAAAGTAGGTACCCATTCAAAATTATTAACCTTAAGAAAACTGGTGTTTTGTTAAATTATTTGTTAAATTACTCAACTCAATAACAACATATACCTATTCCTTATTCCTCGCGCTTTATTTATCTCTTATTTTTAATAGCTAAATGTATACCTACCTCCTTTTAAAAGCAGCGGCAGAATGATCCTGGTACCTATAAACCTATTTCTGTATTGCCATCTATGAATAATTTTTGTGAAAAACATCTTCCATAGTGAACAGTATGGTTTTATTAAAGCTAACAAAAACCTATCTGCAGCCGATGCGGGAGTTGCTTGTTTTAAACACGTTTATAACGCTTGGGAAAATATCACAAAATGCAATTGTTGTTTTTTGTGGTTTATCTAAGGCCCTACGTGCTGTGTGCTAATGTCCCAACATATTTATTTATTTCTAATATTATGACTCCGTTAACAAAAATAGCGACGCCACTTGAGCTGCAAAATTACAATATCAATATGTTTTTACCATACTTACCTACTTGTAAAAAGCAAATGAACACAGCGATTTACCTATTGTTAAAAATTAAATAGCATTTGAAACAAAGATAAAATACATAGTATTTAGGTTAATAAACAGTCTCATTCAGCGTGGGTATAACGTGCCTATCTATTACTCTAATGGAGGCATAAAAATAATTTTACTTATAGGTAGGTACCTACATATTGATTATTAATTAGTTATAATATATTATTCTTAACCTGTGATGAAGAGATTTTAAAATATTGATTGGGTACTAGCAGAACCCGCGGCTTCGCTCGCGCTAAAACTACACAAAAAAACTCCAAAAACGTAGGTTTCATATCAACTTTAATCCCATATTTTACCCCCTAACGGGACGAATTTCGGAAAAATTACACTTATTTATTTAATTGCATTGAAGAGCATTAATACTAAGTTTCAAGTAATTCTGATCATAAATATTTTTATGGTTTGTATTGTAACGTGTTTTCCCGTGAGAATGAGATAATCTCGCGCGGTAAAAAGTAGCTTATGTCACTCTCCAGCCCTCCAATAAATCTCCACACAAAAAATCAGGCCTATCCGTTACTCTTTTTCGCCGTGAAACAAACACACTTTCACATCCATATATTAAAATAGCGACTCACCCTCGCCTCGCTCGGGTTCGTCCCTAAGTACCTACGTTAAAACGGTTAATATGAAATACAAATCTTAGTATTTCTCGACTTTTCTCTACTATAAATGCATGTATTATACATAAAAACCTTAAATCACTCTATCTATTGCTGAGCACTGCACTAAAATCAGTTGAATAGTTTAAAAGATCTAAGCGAACAGACAGCGGAAACGACTTCATTTTATACTATGTAAAGATGAAAATGGATATAGTATGTTATCCTTAACAGATAGATATATGCCATCGCGGACTTTTCAGTAGAGTTATGTATATAATATTTACAATTCCACCATACATTATTTTGTTATATCTCAAAGGGTTTAGGCAGCGTTTTCCTTGAAAGCTCCCAGGCGGCTTATTTTTTCTGATACCTCCAACAAATATCGTTATATTTTAGCCAATATATACAAAAACTTAACAAATTATATATGAAAACCTTTCTCGAAGATCTCTCTATCCATTGGTGAAAACATCATGAAAATCGGTGCAGTAGTTTTTAAGTTTATCGCGAACAAACAGGCAGAGGCGGCGGAGGACTTTGTTTTATAATATGTAGTGTTTTCTATTACTTTCACATATAAATGTAGGTACCTATAGGTATACATTATATTTCATATATATACTATATACTATACTTAATATAAATAACTATTATTAATATTAAGTATGGATATCATAAAGAAGAAAATATTCATGTGCTTAAGATTTTATTACGTACTAGCGATTTACCCTCGCTTCGCTTGGGTTCGTCCCTACCTTGCTTCCCCATACAAACTTTTATCCCCATCCTCACCCCCTTAAGGAATGATTTCCGGTTTAAAAACTATTTTACTCATTCACTTTTCATATTATGAGATTTAAAAAAAAATTTAGTAAAAAAAAAATTCTTTTCATTTTCTTCTATACAAAACTTACTTTCGCCCATATGTTTCCAGTTGATATTTTTAGACTATTTTTTATCTATCTATACTATAATAAAACAGTAGAGGTCGAATGTCTGTACATAGCAAAAAATGCTAAAAACCGAGTCAGGGGGATGTAAGAAGACAAATAGAACAAATCCAGATTTTTTTCAATTTTTTTGTTTCTCTGTTTCTGTCTGTTTGTCTGTTTGTACGGGCTAATCTCCGAATCTATTGGACCGATTTAAATGAAATTTAGCATGGTGGTACCTTATATGCCCGGGCAACGTCTTAGATGCTTTTTATCCCGGAAAATTAAATAGTTCCCGTGGGATAGTTAAAAAACTATAGTAACTTATACAACTTAGTACACAACAACTTACGCACCTAATTTAGTAAAATTTGGCATGCTGATACCTTATATTGCCGGTCAGTAAACAACAGGTTACTTTTCATCCCGAAAAAATGAACGGTTCCCGTGGGAACTAATAGATCTCTATAAGTGTTGTTGTAGTTTAATAATAATTTATAACCTAAATACGTTACACGCTTAGGTTATTTAGGTATATGTCATATAAATAATCTAATGTTACACGTAACTGTCTACTTACGGCCTATCTACATAAATAACCTTCTCTACGTCACCTTCTTAGGTAATTATTCAACAAACGATGTGGATAATAGGAAACTAAGTAATAAATGAGAATGATACCTTTAGGAGGAGTACGTTAACAAACACACGTACAGAAGATTTATATATATTAAGATATAGACCTACATTGTTAAAATATAGTATGTTTGTCCGTGTGGCGCTGTAGCGTGAGTGTAAATAACTGAATAAGCTCAATCAAATAATTGAACTTATTGTCAACTCACTGATACTTCTGTCCTATTTATGTAGAAATATGTACTATATATACAAATAGATTCTGAACTTATATCCTCAAATGTAAACGTATGAAAATGATTGCGATATCAATATCGATGAAAAGTATTGACAGCCCTCGTTCTATAGGTAATTGATAATTAATTGATTTAATTATCTACTCCATCGCGTGTTGAAGGCAGTGGCGAGTGCGTTTGAGTCGTTGAGTCGTGTGACCGTAACTAGTTCTAGGCTATCTACAGCACTGAGCGCGATCCGTGCATTATGAACAGGTATAAAAAAATGAAGTACCTAAACGACAAAGGTCACTCACGAGCGACCTTTAGCTTTACACAACATTAAATTATTGTATTAGATAATTATTCTAGTACTATCTATCTATCTATAAAAATATTCTTTACTAGCGACTCACCCTCGCTTCGCTCGGGTTCGCATCTAGGGAGACAAAAACAAACTTATCCCGCAGTAAACGTACATTTTTCCCGAATATAAAGTAGCCTATGTGGTATTCCAGTCTATAATCTATCTCTGTGCCAAATTTTATCCAGATCCGTTCAGCCGTTCTGGCGTGAAAGAATAACAAACATATATCCATGCTCACAAACTTTTATATTTATATTTATAATATTAGTATAGATTGCATGTTAATTTATCACACAAGCAGCACTTGCTGCAGTGTAGGGCTTATTAATGGCAGAAATTTAAAAATGGTTTAAAGTCCAATACCTGTAGGTAGGTAGGATATGTAGTGACATTCAACTTGTAATAAGAATTAAAAGATTAGAATATACTAGCTACCTACTTAAGGCATGGTAGTCCACATTAATTAAGTGATAGAAAATTAGCGGAAGGGGTCTGGAGGGCGCGGGTTC